TTGGGGATCAAAGTTATTACTCTTTGAGAGTAATATTTCTCTTTGTTTCAATGTCTTTTATTGATCAAAGCCTTTCCTCAAGGGGCATTTACACATGCTGTTCTTCAGCCTAAATACTCTTTCCTTTCTTTTCTAGTTAATGATTGCTCTTCTTCAATCCTTGTGTTCTAGACAGTTCCTTAGAAAAGCTTACTCTGGCCTCCCTGTCAAACCCTTAATTATAATCCCTTGTAAGTGCACAATTCCAAGTTAATGTTTATTACAATTCTCCCACCAATCAGTAGATTTCACAAAGACAGACTGTACTTGGTTTTACTTCTCATTGTATTCCCATTGCTGAATTAATTCACAGCCTTTTCATTATTTCATACATCATCAAACCTATTTTTCCAGTTATGTAACAGAGACCTACAATTTGAGTTTCAGAGGTTAACTCCTCTCTGTACATCTTTTCATCCAAATCCAGACCCCAAATTCTCTCTGCTTCTTCATTTACAGAAGGTAGTCCCAGACCCCATTTCAAGACATTCTCTTTAACATGGTAACTCACATGGGTCTTCTACAAACTTGTAAGTTACTTTGTATTTCTGCGCTATTCAAGTGACTTTTCCATACACTGTCACATTATCATTGTATGTTTCATGCATGAGTACCTTTTCGTTTGCTAAGCACAAACATTTTCTGGGCTCCTAAAGAGTAAGAGTAAGAGTAATTTGCTATTATAGTGCCTATTTACATTATGAATTCTCTGGGCACAACTGCTGAAGGAATTAACAAAGAACTTTTCATAGCCTGGAATGAGGGCTCAGCCCACAGGTTATCACCAACGTTGGCAATTCACAGTTCTTTGGAGGGTGCCTTAAGATGTTTGACTATTTCTCTGAAAAACCATTATTATCCCTTTTGGCAGACATTTCAAAACAAGTGTGATAGAAGAAAATTAAATCGTTTATTATTTTATATTTCTAGATATATTTAAAATAGTTCATAACCAATTATTTTTAATCTATTATAGAATATTAGCATATTCTATAACTCTTAAGGATAATCAACATCATCAATTCTTATTCTTGTTCCCTGAGGCTAGGAAAATCTTGTTTACATTTTCAGTAAATTTCTATTAAAACTACAGCAACAGGGCAAAAAACAATGTCTACAGTCATGCTGGTCACTCCCTTGGCTGACTACCATTCACCACAAATTTAATTCTGTATGAAATACATGAACGTTGTTTTTGGTGGTAGGCCCGCGTACTTATGACAGTACTTGCGGTGGTCAGAGGACATGAAGGAGCTCTTTCCGTCCACCATGTGGGTCCCAGGAATCCATCTCAGGTGGTCAGGTGTGTACTCAGACAAGTTTTTAACCACTTTTGGAGACGGGTTCTCACACCAGCCAGGCCTGGAACTTCTCTATGTGGCAGACGATGATCCTGACTTCTGACCCTCCTGTCTCTATCTCATGAGAGGAGTCTTGGGATGACAATGTGCACAATCTGTCTGCTTGCAATGCTAAGGACCAAACCTTTTGTATTCATGTTGCCAAGAAGGCTTTGAATTCATGACAACTCTCCTGCTTCAGCCTTGCAAGTACTGAGATCACAGGATTGTGATACTATGCCTACCTCAAGTTTCTAAGGAACTAGAACCTTTTTCCCCTCAAAATCAAAGAGTAGGGCTCCTCGTTGGTTACATGCACATACTGCTCTTGAGGAGGACCCAAATTTGGTTCCCAGTATCCACATAAGGTAGCTCACAACTGCCTGTAACTCCAACCACAAAGTCTACCACCCTGTTCTGACCTCCAGAGACACTTGAACTCACAGGTGCATACCCACACACAGATACACATGCATAAACATAATTAAAAATAAAAAGTAAGGAACTGGAGAGATGGCTCAGTGGTTAAGAGCACTGGTTGCTCTTCCAGAGGTCCTGAGTTCAATTCCCAGTCAACCACATGCTGGCTTCCAACCATCTGTAATGAAATCTGAGTCCCTTTTCTGGTATAATTGCAAACAGAGCACTCACATACATAGAATAAATAAATCAATAAACAAATGTCTTTTTTTAAAATTTCACTTAAAAACAAAACCAAAAAGTAAATTGTAATTCCAAATATCTTCAGTCTTACTGAAAAATACAAGAGGAATAGAAAGCAAAGTTGACAGAAATATTGAAATTCAGGCTATATATGTCACCCATTTCTTTTTTGTTGTTGGTTTGGTTTTTTGTTTTTGTTTTTGTTTTTTTTTTTTTTTTGAGACAGAATTTCTCTGTGTAGCATTGGTTGTCCTGGACTCACTTTGTAGACCAGGTTGGCCTCAAACTCACAGAGATCTGCCTGCCTCTGCCTCCCTGAGTGATGGGATTACAGGCATGAGTGACAGAACCCAGCTTATGTTGACACCCATTTCAAATAGAAGAATTTATTTTATAAATTCTACTAATCATGATTCTGACTTTTACTGAAACGAAAATTCAGTTTTTACATTTTTAATTTTTTAGTTAGATTTATCTAATGCTTCCTTTTATATTTTGGGATTGAGTTTTTGTTTGTTTCTTGGTTTTGAGACACATTTTTCACTCTGTAGCTCAGATGGCCTCTAACTAAATATGTAATCCTGATTGGCTACTCACAGCAATCCTCCTGCCTCAGCTTCCTGAGTACTGCGATTACAGGTATGAGCTACAACATCCAGCTTTACATATTATTCTACAAATGACTTCTTATATTTTTTCTTTTAAAAACATTTACTGGGGGGAGGGGTTGCATATGTTCCACAGTAATATAGAAGTCAGAGGAGAATTTGAAGCCATCTGTTTTCTGCTTCCACCGTGTGGTGTGGGGGAGGGAGATTAAACAGGCTTGGTGACATGTGATATTATCTACTGAGCTCCTGTCTTTCTGTTAAAAGGACTAACTGCTCTTCTAGAGGACCCTGGTGTGATTCCCATCCCCCACATGGCAGCTCACAACTTCTCTGTGACTTTGTGTTAGTCTATATGCAACATGGTTAACTGCTCAAAAGAGAAACACACAATGGAGAAAGGCTTTTACATAGCACACGAGACAAAAAGTAAGTTAAATACTAGATACCCTGTTTAAATTGCTTATTTTCCTTCCAAAAGTAGGCCTATTTCTCTGACCATGAGAAGGGATATTAATATAGTTTCCTAAAGTATTTCATAAAACCATGTTCCTAGGGGTTCTATATTGAAGAACTTCTTATCCAAGCTTGACAACCCTGAGTTCCTGCCCCTAGTAACCACATAAAAGCCAAGTGTGCCTGTTGCATCTGCAAACCTACACCAGGGGTACAAGAATAGGTGGATCTCTAGAGCTCACTGGCCAGCTGGTTCAGGCAACCAAAACCTTTGGCTTCTTCAAACAATAAGGTGAAAAACAATAGAGGAATCCACCCAAAGTTGACCTTAGACTTCTGCACACATACATGTATCCACCCAAAAATTATAAAAATAGCCTTCTGTGTTGGTAGAAGCCTTTAATCCCAGGAGACACAGGCAGGCAAATTACTGTGAGTTCAAGGCCAGCCTAGTCTACATAGTGAACTTCAAGACTGCATGGTGAGACCATGTCTCAAAAATAAAATAAAATAATAAAAATAAAAATGCACACTTCAGAAGTTAGAAGCCAAATAAACTTATGTATTTTATTTATCCTGACCATGTAAAATATATTTAGAGAGCAAAACTAGATTTACACAGATAAGAGCTAACTGTAAAAAATCTACATTAAACAAGAATTTTGAAAATATGTTGGATCTAGGTGTGGTGGGCCAAGCCTTTCTAATGCCAGATTCGGGGAGCTCTAGACCGGAGGATCTCAAAGTTGAGTCATCTTTGTCCTGCAGATATATAGTCCTTTCAAAGAAAAGCTATAACAAACAAAGGTGGGTTTGATGGTTACTGTTTTGAGATAGGGTCTCTCTCTGTTCCGGGCTGATTTTGAACTTGTGAAGAACCTCCCAGATCTGCCTGGCATGCCCATGCAGCTTTTTGTTTGTTCTTTTGAGACGGACTCACTAGCAGTAGAAAATGACGTCCTCCTGCCCCCGCCTCTCCAGTTCTGGGATGACAGGACTGTAGTCCTACCATGCTGGCTTTTTCTTTTTCTTTTGTTTTCTTTTCTTTTCTTTTTTTTTTTTTTTTTAAGACTGTAGTCCAGGCTGCTCTGGAATCTGCTCTGGAATTTATTATATAGACCAGGCGGTTTCGAACTCCAGGTAATCCTTCCGACTCAGTTTCCCAAGTCTTGAGACTGCAGGCCTAAGAAACCATTCCAGGCTCAAAAATTCCACATTTCCATTTAAAGAAACGGCAAACATTTTTGTAGCAAAACGCAAGCATAAGCAATGGAAAACTACCAAACATCCCACCAATCGCAGCACTAAACAACGCCACAGGTCGTCCAAATTACGCATTTGTTTAAGTCAACAACAGCTCTTGCCTCCCTCCAAAGCCAACCCTCCAGCGTCAGAGAAGACAGAGGGGTGATTTGTGACTTCTCCCTTTCTGATCCCTCGCCCCGGATCCACCTGCTTAGAAGTGTCAAGGAGACTAGAAATGGTTAACGGTGACCAGCTGCAGACAGAAACAAACATCCCTGACAACCCGCAGCTGAGCAAGCAAGGGCTGTTTATTCACCAGCGCGGTCCCTTTGGAGGCTGCGGGCAAGCCCTCCAAAGGCTGGGCGACAGCACCTCCGAGAAGGTTCCGGGACGGAGTAGTCCTCCGGTCCCACCCTCCCGCCACACACCACACACACACACACACACACACACACACAGAGGCACCGGTGCGAACAGCCGGGTCCCCCACCCGCCCCTCCGGAGCAGCCCCGCACTAAGCCACCCGGCCCCTCCCCGAAGATGGGCTCTGACGCGGCCGAGGCTGACCCGAGCACCCGGCCTCCCGCCGCCGCGGCCCGGCGTGCTGGACCCGGCCCAGAAACCGGCCCTCCACGCCGCCTCCCCTCACCTGGCTCTGTCCCACCTGAGCGCGAGAGCTGAAGAGGCAAGACGCGGAGAGGGGGCGCTGACCTGGTTGCTACTGACAGCGGAGCGCCACATGCTGCCGCTTCCCGGACGGCGGCCCGAAGGACATTTTTTTCCCCCTGGAGGAAGGAAACCGGAGGGCGCCGGCCCGGCGGCGGCGGGCGCGGCGGCGGGGGTCCCGGCGGGCTGTGCAGCCTCTAGCGGGGACGGTCCGAGGACTACATCTCCCAGGCTGCTCCGAGCCGCCCCTGCGTCGTGACCCCGGCGCGCACGGAGGCGGTGACTCTTACCTCACAGAGGTAGCTCCTCCGCCGGCAGCAGCTCGGCGCCCCGGCGGTCCATGGACCGGAACCCTGGGCGGACCGGCAGGAACCCGGGCCGTGACCGCCGCCCCCCGGCCCCAGGCTCCTCCTCCTCGCTCCCCGCCGCCCTCTGCGGACGCCCGCCGGCCGTGCACCGCCGCCGCGGGCCTCTCGGAGCCGCGCCGGGAGGCTGTGTGGCGGGGCCGCAGCCGCCGCGGGACTGAGGCCTACTCCGCCGCCTCTCAGTGCTATTGTCCCGGGGCCTGGCCCCGAGCGGGGCTGCGGGCGAGGGCCGAGCTCGCCGGCTCCGCGGAAGATGCCGGACCAAGCCCTTCAACAGATGCTGGACAGGTACGAGCAGCGGGGGCCCGGGAACCGCTGGCCTTGGTCCTGGGCCTGCCCATGCTGCCCTCGAGGCCCCGGGAGCGCGGATCCTGGCATCCGCCGAGAGTTCCACCGCCCGGGTCCGGGAGAGGGGTTCTGGGTTTGGAGGTGGCGCTGGAGGGAAGAGCGGGCCAACTTAGTTAAAGGGGTGAGGTCTACTTGGGCCGAAAGCCTGGTTTTTGAGGTGAAGAGGCGCTGTTGTTAACCCGTAGAATTAGTTTCTTTTTCTCCCCTCCTCCCCGGTCTGTGTTGTAAAGGGTTTGGCAGCGGTGCCACTGGGAAGAACCCGATTATCTTTCTGGAGAATGATCTCTTGCACTTCCACAATGCAAGGGTAGGCATTCTCAAAGAGAAAATAAAGCGCCTGGGTTTCGTTTCTCCGTCCAACCCTCATCCCCACCCCCAAACTGTAAGGTCAGAATATCCACTAGGGAACCTTAACGGTCGGTCACACTAGAGTAGAGGTTATGGAAAACAGCCACATGCATGCATCATTGAACACGTAGCACACTTGATGATCCCCGAGTTCCCAAAAACATTTTGGCTTGTACCGGGACCCGTTGCCCATTCCTCGGGGGCTCCAGCCAGTAAAACTCTTTGAAAAGTCTATGGCATCGCCCTCTGCTGTTTAAATTCTAGCCAGTGAGGCTTTGGAGACTAAATTAAATCAACCTCTTCTCCCGGGCAGCTTCGTGCTGTTCTGACAAATTCATGATGTTTGTGGTTGCTTGAGCTCTAAAGGCTAACTGGCCTCCCTGTTCAGCAAGTGATACTCTTTAAGTATCAGTGTTAAGATCCAGCTTTGTAAGTTGTTAAATGAAGAGCCTCTCCTGATTGAGGTTATAGGCAGTAACTGCTGGGAAGGGGTTGGGGAGGCAAGAAGTTACTCCTCATATTTTATCCTAAATCCTAGGACGGGACTTGGTACTTAGCAGGTATTGTGTTAGAATATTGAACTTGTCAGTTTCTCAGTTGTCTAGGAGTCTAGTACTTGTCGGGTTTTCCTTTCGTTATAATTTATCATACTTGACTAGATGTGACATACTGAGTGTGCCCAGAGAGAGCGCTGCCTGCCAGGTCGATTCTGATTAAATGAAGACTCCATTCTGGTATTACATAGTTAATTATTTGCAGACATTCCACTTTCACTTTTATGTGGTGACTTTTAGAAAAATCCTTTGTGTCTAGGTGTTGTCTTGGCATTTCATGTATTCCGTAAAAGCCAGTGAGTACTAATGAAGCATTTACAGAAACTTGGGAATTCTGGCTGTCCTATACAGAAATATATATAAATGTACATACAGAAGTGACAACACTTTAGTTCCAGCAGAGTATCAAGTCCTGTCCTAGGATTTAGGATTAAATATGAGGAGTAACTTCTTGGCTTCCCTGATGGATCTTTGTATCCCGCACACACACACACACACACACACACACACACACACACACATACATACATACATACATATACACAAACACACACTCACACACTCCACCCCTGCAGTCAGTGGCTATATAACCTCAATCAAGAGAAGGCCCTTCAGCCCTTCATTTAACAACACGAACAATTTTTTTTTCATTATAATGTATAACTTAATATGGTCGTTCTCCACTTCCATTACTCCAGCTCATCCCATCCACTATTGAACATTTTCTCCCCAAGTCCTCTCTCTCTCTCTCTCTCTCTCTCTGTGTGTGTGTGTGTGTGTGTGTGTGTGTGTATGTATGTGTGTGTATTCCACTAAATTTAATTAGGATTGCTTGCATAAGCATGGTTCCTGGTTATTTACTTAGCAGGACAAGTTATCAGTTGCCACAACACTAAATGTACTCCTTCCTCCTTCAGTAGCCTCAAGTTGAGTTATTGTCCCAGGCTCCAGGGGTGGGCATGGAGCTTCAAGTCTCTCATCCATCCCTGATGCAATGTTGACAGGCCCATCTTGTGTGGGTCTTTTTCAGGTAACCATAGCTACTGTAGGTTCCTGAGTACAAGGCTAGAAGACCAAATTTCATAGCACTACTCATCTCCCAACTCTTACATTCTTTCTGCCTTTTTTTTTTTTTAAAAAAAAACCTTCAAATTTTTCATTATAAAATACTGAGGAAAAACAAACCTATGCTTATATATAATTTATGAGGAAGATGACTGTACAACTATTCCTGCCTCCACCATACTCGGTTATGCAGTGCTGGGAATTGAACCCAGGGCTTCATGCATGCTAGGTAAACACATTCTGAACCACATTCCCATCCCTTACTTTACACTGATAACTATTCTGATATATGTAACCTTATTTTGATACTATGTGTTCTGTTCTCAGAGAACTTAAGAAGTTGTAGATATTATGCCTACATTTGTTACCAATATATACAATTTGACAAGTAGACACCTGTTGTGTTAAATGTATATTTATTCTAACAACATCTCAGCTACCCTATTTGCTAATATACTTAGCAATTGCAGTTTTATGCAGAAATGTTAGTCATCCTATGAATAGCCACACTAACGTGAACATATATTTTTTGTGAGTGTGAATATATTTTAATTGAATTGTACCTGTAAACTGGTTAAAGTGGTGAGTTTTATGATACTTTTACCATGGCAACTTTTTAATGAAGCAGAGTTAAAGATTTTATTAAAGATACTTTAATATTGGCTTCAACATAAGGATTAAAGGCAAAGAGAGGTGCTCAAGGAAAGAAAACCATGTTTGAGAGTCTAAATGTGGGTTTCTCAGAGTCCCAGAGAGAATAAGTCATATCCAATTATAAGTAAGAGCTTCTAAAAGGGAAAGTTACCCATAGTTTGTTTGTTTGTTTGTTTGTTTTTAATTTTCATATGTAGAGGTCAGCTCCCTTCTTTAGAAATATGTGTCCCAGATACCAAAGTCAGGTGGTCAGGCTTTGCAAGCAGGTTCTTTTACCCACTGAAATATCTTGCCAGGTTTTCCCCTGTTTGAATTGAAAGTTTTTATTTGAAGTGTATATTGAGGTCCATGTTGTTCTACAAGAGCTGGGAACACATCCATTTGTAGTTCCTGACTATACAGACAGCCTTTCCCACTATGCATGTTAAGCCAGTCGTTCTGATAGAAACCAATTATCTAACTACTTAAAAACACAGTAAGTAACAAGCTTTAATTAGAAGTTGTTCCCACTTACCCAAACTTTAGTGGAGGGAATCGGATTCTCTGTGAGTTAAATCAGTATCACAATTTGTGTAAAGGGCTGGGGATGTGGTCCAATTGGTAGAGTGTTTGCCAAATATGCACAAAGCCCAAATTCATCCATCACGTGTGATGGAGGCACATGCTTCAGAAGTTCACTTATCCTCAATTGCACAGAGTATTTGAGCTAACCTAGACTACATGAACCCTTGTCTGGAAAATAAAAGAGTAACAAACAAAAAAGGAGTTGGGAATTCAGTATAATTATACAAGAAAAATTAGACTTAATGAAGTGCCCTTAAAAGTGTTTAGTACCAGGCTTAGTTTAGATTAAAGGCTTGATGATATATTCTTTTAATCCTATCTCTGAGGAGGTGAGGTAAGTCCACATAAGGAGTCCCTTTAGAAAAAAAAAAGTGTTTAGTGGTGGTAGTTTTCGAGACTGGGTCCTTAGTGGTGGTAGTTTTCGAGACTGGGTCCTGTTGTACTGCTCAGGGTAGCCTCCAACTTCTTGGGCTTGTCTCAACTTTCCAAGTAGCTGAACTGCACACTTGTACCACTGTGTCCTACCAGAAAAAAAAAAAAAAAAAAAAAAAAAAAAAAGTGCTTAAAGTAGCTACTGGATAGAATTATTTTAGACTAACCATTTGACACTGTGAAGCTTTGTGTTGGGTTTTACACTTTCATTATTGAATACTTTGTATACACTTATCTATCACCAAAAACTGGGGGGGGGGGGGGGCCAAAACAAAAAAAAAAAAGTGTCCATTACTTTTATTCAGTCCTTCCTCATCCCCTAATATTTACCCGTTCTTGTTCTCTCTGCATGTCACACTGTACCCACTACATATGTACAGGTTTATGGTTTGGGGTAAAGAGATCAGTGAACTGGGCACTCAGGCTTGAGGTCCTTTTGACTGGATGCTGAGACTTTAGTTTATGGGATTTCGCTCTCTTTTTTTGTTCAGTAGTGTTCCCTTCTCCAAAGTTTTACTTTCTTTGGTTTCAGTCAACAGCCTATATTGTAGACCACAACCCAACTATGAGGGTCCTTTAAAAGTTCATCAGAACAGACTTTGGGCCTATTTAATTTTATTGTATGAATTCTACCTGTAAGTTCTTTATAATATAGTTGTAAAAATAGAGTTTTTGTTTTATGACAGGGTTTCTCTGTGTAGCCCTGGCTGTCCTGGAACTTGCTCTTGTAGACCAGGCTGGCCTCAAACTCAGAGAGGTCTGCCTGTGTCTGCCTCCTGAGTCTGGAATTAAAGGCATGTGCTACTACTGCCTGGCAAAATAGAATTATTTTAATATAAACATAATAGGCTTAAAA